ACCAGCCAAATGTTTCTAGTTTCTGGTCCTCAAGCCTTATATACCTTTCTGCTTTCTGCCTCACTCCCTGGGATTAAAGGCTCGCTTTCTGGGATTAAAGGTGTGAGTCACCATGCTTGGCTGCTTCCAATGTGGCTTTAAACTCACAGAGATCCAGACAGATTTCTGCCTCTGGAATGCTAGGATTAAACGTGTGAGTGCCACCATTTTCTAGCCTTTGTATCTAGTGGCTGTTCTGTCTCTGACCCCAGATAAGTTTATTAGGGTGCACAGTATTTTGGGGAACACAATACCACCACATCCCTCCTCCAGAAGGAATGTTTCAATTCAGAGGAACTTGCTATACAGTCAGCATCAGGTGCTGGGATAGAGCTCACCTGAGAGCAAATGTCAACAGCCAAAAAGTGGAAGCAACTAAGCCGCTATCAGCAGCCAAGTAGATAAATCCAACAAAATAGTACTCAGCCATAAAAATGCCAGCTGGGGATGGAACTCAGTTGGTGGAGTACTTGCCTATCATGTACAAAGTCCTGAGTTCCATTCCCAGTACTGCACAAACCCTGTGTGATAGTGCACTCCTATAATCTCAGGTAGAGGCAGGGGGATTAGAAGTTCGGGGTCATCAGCTTCTGACTAGTATGACAGTAGTGATGGCTGTAAGCACCGTGAATGCAGGCTGGAAAAATGGTTCAGCAGTTAAAAGCACTCTCTTGCAGAGGACCCAGGTTCAGTTCCTAGCACCCACAGTGGCTCACAACCATATGTACCTCCAGTTTCAGGGGGATCAGATGCCCTCTTCTGACTTTTGTAGGAACTAGATATGCACATGCTGCAAAAGTAGGCATGCAGGCAAAACATTTAAACACACACACACACACACACACACACACACACACACACACACACACACACCCCAAAGCCAAAAACAATTAATACTGCAGAACTGAACATTTTAAATAGTTAAAATGTCAAACTATATCTGTAATTACCCTCATTATACCAGGTAAATAAATAGATAAACCATAATTTTTTTCTAGTTTTTCAAGACAGTCTCTCTGTGTAGCTCTGGCTGTCCTGGAACTCACTCTGTAGACCAGGCTGGCCTTGAACTCACAGGGATCTGCCTGCCTCTGCCTCCTGAGTGCTGGGATTAAAGGTGTGTGCCAACCACTGCCCAGCAGACCATAATATTTTAAAAAAGAATTTGGGAGAGGTTCACCCAAGTCATTCTAGTTCTGGGTTTTTCACGAGCTTGCTGTCCAACCAGGGCTGCAGATGAAGCAAGCTGAAGCTGCCTGGGCCTGTCTCCTTTATGCTCTCTGTGAGCCCTTCTCTGTACTCTCTCCATGATGACTGCTCAGGTCTTCTCATGGAGTGGTAGGGAAGTTAGGCAGCTAACATGGTTGTGATGGGTGAGTACACAGCTAATAAGGCAGAAGCCATGTCTTGAATTTTCTGACCCAGCCTCAGAAAGCAAGCAGCACTTTTAGCAGATTATCTTAATCACATTCAACATGCAAACCTACTTGGATTGTACAGTGAGTGTTAAATTTCACCTCTTGATGGGAGGTGGCAAGGCTCCAGGAGAACATGTGGGATGGAGAAATTGTTGGGGCTACCTTGGAAAGCCACAATCTGCCACACACCAGTTAAAAGGCAGAGAATGTCAACCTTAAACAAAGTAGCTATATGGTATTTCCAAGAAGCACTTTTAAGCATAAATACATGTTGAAAGTCAAAGTATGGAAAAAGATATACCAAGCAAGCATGGAGCACAGGAAAGCTGGTGTGGCTTTACAAACACCAGATAAAGTAGAATTCAGCATAAAGTGTAACCAGACGTAGGAGGGACACTGAAAAAGGGACAAATAACAAGACTTAATACCAAATCTCTCAAATACACAAAGTAAAAATTGTTCCCTCTAAAGGGCTCTAGAAATAAACAAATCTCCCAACACAGTTTGACACTATAACATGTGTTTTTCAGGAACTGTTCAAATAAGAAAGAAAAAAATGTCAGAATATAGATTTGAACAGTATTATCAAGCAAATTAAGCTAATTGATATTTAGAGAGCACTACATCTCCAAGCAGGATAAACCACTTTTCTTTAGTGCAGATGAAAAATTCAGCAACATCAACAAACACCAATAAAGTACAAAGGATGGATGTAGATATCTCTCCACTGTGAAGTTGAATTAAAGAATTCAACATTAACGTGAATTAAAGAGTAATAATGATGGGCTGGCAAGATGGCTTAGTGGGTAAAGATGCCTATCACCAAACCTGGTAACCAGAGTTTGAGTCCCAGGACCTACATGGTGGAAGGAGAAAAATGACTCCCATAAGTTTTCCTCTGACCTATACACACTGTGGTGTACACCCCCCCTCACATAAATAAATGTAATACAATAAATTTAAAAAGAAATCTACAGTGAAGCATGGCATGGTAGTGCACATCTTTAATTCCCACACTCAGAAGACAAACACAGACGGATCTCTGAGTTCAGGACAGCCAGGTCTATGTAGAGAGACTCTATCTCGAAAAACAAAAAGCAAACAAATCAACAACAAAAATATGTAAAGAATGGTGTCACATGCCTGTAATCCCAGCACTTGGGAGGCAGAGGCAGGTGGATCTCTGTGAGTTTGAAGTCAGTCTGGTCTATATAGTAAGTTCTAGGACAGCCTAATCTACTTAGAGCGACCCTGTCTCCAAAAACAAAGGAACAAACAAGCAAAATATGGTGCTGTATGTCTATAATCTGCACTTAGGAAGCAGAGAACAGAGGATCCATGCAAGTTTCAGGCCCACCTAATTTACTTAGGGAGCTCCAGGCTTACCAGAAGATCCTGTCTCAAAATAGCAAAACCCAAAGGACCCCCAAAAGCATGATAAACATTCAATATATATGTGTGTGATAGTGTATATATGTGCAGTGTGTGTTGGATGATGTGTGTCCCTGTGTAGTATATGTGGAATGTGGAAGTCTGAACTGCATAGCATGTATGCACAAGGAATGGAGGTGGGGTGTGCATCTCTGTCTCTTAGGAAGGCATCCACTTCATGTCTCCTCTACCTCAAGGGGCAGGGAGGTGCTAGAGCCCCACCAGACTCTCTGGGCAGGAAGAGGAAACCTTGACCATTGGTAAGGTCCCTGGGCCTTGCTGTTTCGGTTGCCAGCCTTGTAGGTCAAGGGAAGAAAACCGAGAAACAGGCAAAAAAGGAGCTTGGCCTTGGGTGGGTGAGCAGGCAACAGCCTGGGACTAAACCAAGCTAACTTGAACAGACAGGGAGCCATAGAAGGAGGGGAGCTGGTGAGTTACAGGTGGCAGGAGTCAGGTATGTGGGTGATAGAAGGCCCTAAACATCTGTGTCCCTAAGTTCTCTCCTCAGGTTCTTTCACATGGGAACTTGGATCCCTGAGCCTGCTGTTTGTGCACAAATGTATGAGTCTTCATGTTGTGTGAAGCATGTATTTGAGGGTGTGTGTATGAAGAGAGAGAGAAATGGGTAAGTATACTGGAGATCAGTCTGAAAGGCCTTCCTCCTGGGACAGGTGGTTGCAGGTGGGGCATGAGGAAGAGGGTGGTTGCTCCTACAGGCCCCTGGGGAGGAAGCTGGATCACATAGGGGCACATTTAGCCCTGGTTTACCCCTAGCCCCACCCCTTCCCTTTCTGTCCCTCATCTCTGGGCAGCCAACTCGAATTGAGGAGGAGGGGCTTGAATGGTCCTTAGAGGTTCTCCCATCCCCAGGCTTTTAGCCCTTTGTCACCAGGAAATGAAGACAAAATACGGTGTCTGGCTTAGGCAAAGAAGGTAAGGATTTGCCATGAAAAAGTAGTGATTCTGGATCAGGTCCAGCCATCTCCAGCCTCAGTTTCCCACTTAGTAGATGAGGTGCTGCACTAAATAGTTTCTCACAGCACTGCCATACCAGATGTTCTAGAAAGATGGACCTGTGGGGTAGGGGCAGACAGGATGGAGGTTGCTGCTGAACCAAGATGGGGACTGGGCTTGAGAAGGGTGGTCCTGGGGACTGACCTAAGAAGCCTGGGGCAGAAAAGGAAATTGGAGGGCAGGAACTTACTTCCTGGTAGATGGAGGAAGGAGGCCAGGGGAGGCGGGAGGCTAGGGGAGGCGCATGAGGGAGAGGAGGGGGAAGTCTCCTGTTCAGGTCATTCCCTGAGGCTGGGTTGGGGCGGGGCCAACAATGGAGAGCAGTGTGAACACTGGGCCACCTTCACGCTGCTGCCCAGGTGCCCAGAAGCCCAGGAGCTGAAGCAGGTAAGGGGCTGTAAAAGGGTCCTGAGAAGCACACTTGGTTTCTCTTGTCCAGTCCTTAGCCCTCCAATGGTGGTTCTACCCAAGCTGCTGTTTGGGCAGGGGGATCTTAGTGTTTACCTCTGATGCCTAATCACCACAGGCTCACAACTGCCTAGATGGAACCTGGGTTTTGTGTATTGTTCTGTCTGACTGTTCTTTATATTCCCTGCCCAGGCCTAAATACAGCCTGGATCTCCATCCTGTGAACGCACCTTCAGAGAGGTACCTGCCTCCTGGCACCTCTATCCTGTACAGTGACCCTGGAGAGTGGGGCTGGCACCTGGAGTGGAGGCTGAGTTGGCTCCCGGGACAGGTGTACAGCCACCCCCACCATGCTCCTCGTGTCCACCATATCTGGTAAGGTTACAGCCACTGGGTTTCTGCTACCCCTTGCTTGGATGAGCCAGGTGGGCTAGGTGGGTTTGATGAAGCCGAGAAGGCCCTTTTTCTAAAACCTCTTTTCCTTCTTGTGAATGGGTAGGCTGTCAGGAGGGGTTGAAAGGCAAGCACTACCTGTCTTCCAAACCACACACTTCCTTAGAAGTCCCTTTTGCTGGGAGCCAGGAAATGGGCAATAAGACCAACAAGGGGTTAAAGGTACCAGCTGCACAGCCCACCATCCCTAGCATTGGAACTTCCTCATTCTAGGGAGCATACACAGCACCCCACTAATTTGTCCCTTGTCCCTCTCACCCTTGCCTAGCTGTGCCTGGGCCTCTTTCGACCCCTAGCTCTCCCAGCAACAGCAGCCAGGAGGAGCTACTGGATGACCGAGACCCACTGCTAGTCCGGGCTGAACTGGCCCTGCTTTCTACTGTCTTTGTGGCTGTGGCCTTGAGCAATGGCTTGGTGCTGGGAGCCCTAATACGACGGGGCCGGCGTGGACGCTGGGCACCCATGCATGTCTTCATCAGTCATTTGTGCCTAGCTGACCTGGCTGTGGCTCTGTTTCAAGTGCTGCCCCAGCTGGCCTGGGATGCCACTGACCGCTTCCATGGTCCTGATGCCCTGTGTCGGGCCGTCAAGTACCTGCAGATGGTAGGCATGTATGCCTCCTCTTATATGATCCTGGCCATGACGCTAGACCGCCACCGCGCCATCTGCCGCCCTATGCTGGCATATCGCCATGGAGGTGGGGCTCGCTGGAACCGGCCAGTGCTGGTGGCCTGGGCCTTCTCACTCCTTCTCAGCCTGCCTCAGCTCTTCATTTTTGCTCAACGAGATGTGGGAAATGGCAGTGGAGTGTTTGATTGCTGGGCCCGATTTGCAGAGCCCTGGGGCCTTCGTGCCTACGTCACCTGGATTGCCTTGATGGTGTTTATAGCACCTGCCCTGGGCATTGCTGCCTGCCAGGTTCTTATCTTCCGAGAGATTCATGCCAGTCTGGTGCCAGGGCCATCTGAGAGAGCAGGGAGGCGCCGCAGAGGGCACCGGACAGGCAGTCCCACCGAGGGAGCCCATGTGTCAGCAGCCATGGCCAAGACTGTGAGGATGACACTGGTGATTGTGATTGTCTACGTGCTGTGCTGGGCACCCTTCTTCCTTGTGCAGCTGTGGGCAGCGTGGGACCCAGAGGCTCCACTGGAAAGTGGGTGTGGGTGTGGCTAAGGCTGGGGGTGAGGGAGGTAAGGGCTTGGCCATACACATCCAAGTACTCCACTTGCTACCTTTATGCCCAACTAGTGGGTTCACATGTGGTGCCCCCATGGCTTGCTAGCGTGAGCAAGGGACACCCTGAGCTCCAACCTGGACTCTTCTCTCCTTCATAGGACCTCCCTTTGTGCTGCTCATGCTGCTGGCTAGCCTTAACAGCTGTACCAACCCCTGGATCTATGCTTCCTTCAGTAGCAGCGTCTCCTCAGAGCTACGTAGCCTGCTTTGCTGTGCTCAGAGGCACATCACACCCAGCCTGGGACCTCAAGATGAGTCCTGTGCCACTGCCAGCTCTTCTCTGACCAAGGATACACCCTTCTGAGCATTCACTGGGCTCTTTCCATCCAAAGGCTTCCTGTAGCTCACCTGACTGGAGTTGGCCCTGGGGGCACCAAGAGAGGGGTACCTTGGCCATTCTTGGTCCTCCCTAGGTCTCATTGTCCCCAGGTATGCAAGAAGGAATGTTCCAGGACTGCAAGGAAACCCTTAAGTTGGCTCCTTTGTGCCAGACATGGGAAGCAACTGGGGCAGAGGCCTCAAGATCTAGGAGGGGAACAGGTAACAGAGGTGCTTGTGCTTCTTACCCTGGCAAGTACCCTGCGGGTGAAGAGGAGTCCCAGGGAGCTGAAGGAAGGACCAGGATGGGGCTAGTAGAACTTCCTGTTATTCCTTCCTTCTGCCTATCTTCCTAATAAAAGTTGCAATTCATTTTCCACATGGAAAAGGTTTCCTCAGACCAGGTAAATGGTGGGTACAGAGGCTGGGATAAAGACAAGGACCCCTACAACTATAGATATACACATGGTCAGAAACCTGTGATATGAGCAACCAAGATTGCACTTTTGTGAGCAGTCCCTAAATGACAACAGGCAGAGCCATGTCAGAGGACCCTCTTTCCCAAGAGAAGGTGCTGAAGCTGTTCAATCTTCTGTCTTGGCATCTGGCCTATAGCAATGTAGGCTCTCAGAGCTGTACTGCACCTGACCTGTTTAGCCCCACGAAACAGAGTGTAGGTTATTACAACAGCAACCAGTGCATGGGTCTTTATGAATTGCTGCAACTTCCATCTTCCACAGCCACAGCCTAAGATTTCCCAGCAAAGGCACAGAAGGGCTTAACTCTAGCCTCCTTCCTTTGTTACTTCTCAAAGAGGCCTAGAGCAGGGCTGTGGAGAGGCAACAGGCCTAGGGGGAATGTGGTCTGGTGACTGCTGGAGGTAAGCTGCCTCAGAGTGGCTTGCGAGTTGAGTCTGGACCCTGGGGATGGGAGACTGAGGGGGAAACTGGAGCCCCTGGTCCCCGGGAGAAAACTTTGTTTTTGCCGAAGCTGCTGCAGGCCAGGGGCTTCAGATTTCGGGTTCCTAGACTGGGGGTGGCTGTAGATGCTAGCCCATGTCCCTGGCGGACAGCAGCTTTTCCCAAGAGCTCCTTAAATACAGAGTCCATGTTCTGGGCCACAGCCTAGCAGAAAGGAAAAATGGAGGGCACAGTGAGTTTCCCCAACCCGAGACCTTGGTTACCACATCACAGCAGCAGCCAGGCTCTCTTCTCCAGGGGACATGGGAGACTGCTTGAGCCTCCAGGCCACCTCCCCGACTCCATTCCAGCTATCTTCCTCCAGTCACTTTCAGTGTTGCTTGTCAGACAGTAACTTCTTAGTCTGGCTCTGAAGAGGAGGCCCCTCTGAGCCCTGGGTCCCCCCTCTTCTCACCCCTACTCTTTCTCTGGCTGACATCACAGCTTCCATCATGGTCTCTGGGGCTGTCAACATGCTGGGGACTCCTGGGTCAGTGTCTTCCCCTGGGTCTCCCAGCTGCCAGGCTTTAGTTCCTGTGTGTTTACCAGCCTTCCCTAGGCTCCCTAGGCCTAGGAGTGGGGACACTCTTCCTAAGACTTAGCAACTGTCTTCAAGGATTCCCTGCTTAGTTCATAGGGACTCAAAGGATCCACTGTATAAAAGGGACTCCCCAAGTTGTGGCACTCATCAGAGCCTTGTTCTGAGACTATTTTCCTTCCTCAGTCAGCTGTTCTTTCACTCTCCCTGGCTTGCTAAGCAACTAAGCCTAGCTCTAAGTGCCAGCCTTGAAGTCTATCCTGGAGCCTCTAGCCCACACCAACCTAAACAGTCTGGCTTCTCTCTAGCTCAAGAGTGTTGTGAGTCCCATACCACAGCTGGGCTGATGATCTACTGCTCTCTCATCTCTGCTTCTGTGCCCCTATCCCTGTCCCACCCACTCTGTCTCTTCCCCCTTGTCCCCATGCCCCTCCCTAGATTGTGACTTGACTTGCTGGCACCAGGTGCCCCTGGACTGGGACCAAGGACAATAACAATGAGCCTCACCTTGGGGAGGTCAGAGACCATGTAGAAGAGGCACCCCTTCCTGGCCCCATAGTCAGTCCTGGCTCTTACCTTATCCATCTCCACATGTTGCTCAGGGGAGGTGGGGACCAAACAGTGTCGTCTGTGCCCAGAGGGGCTCACAGCCTCAGGTGGGGTGCCTAGTTCCAGCCTACAAGGCATAAATAGGAAGATTGGCAATGGCCCTGGGAAATCCTTGACCTAAGCTGGCAGTGCCCATCTTTTAGGTATGGCCAAGGAAAGAGGTGAGCCTCCATGGTCCCCAAATTCCTTTAGAACCTCTCCCAGCCACAAATAAGGATGACTCTGTTCTGTCCACACTTAGTGTCCTTTATGCAACAACTCCCCCAATCACATGTGGCCAAAGCCTGAGCCCACCCACATCCTCAAGCTTAACAGTGCAGGTAGCCTCTGACCCATGGGCTGAGGGGTCTTTCTAAAGGCCTGTCTTCTCCTGGCTCACCGATTGGTAAACTCCAAGGTCAGGAAGCTCTCTGGATGGCTCACAGATTCCGCTGTGGCCTGCAGACCAGCTGTCTGCTTCTCATCCCTGGGAAGGAAAAAGACTGGCTTGCTTTGGAATCCTTCCTGGCTGGAGCTTGGAGGTCAATGTCCCCTTCCTCGATCAAAGGAGTTGGGAATAGTTGTTCTTGGGTGCAACCCAGGCCTATAGACTCTGTTTTAGGGTTGGGGAGGGCAGCAACCTTGGTTAGAACAAGTCCTATTGAGCATGTCAGAATGACAGTGGCTACTTCCAGAAAGAAGGCCGGGAGACTCTATGCTCAGTATGGGCTAAAAAGCAACCATGAACATCACAGGCCAGGGGATCCAAGGCAGATACAATGGGACCCTCCCCAGGGCTACAGCTCACTCACCCCTCAGGCAGTGTGATGTACTTATGGGGAATGAGTCCCTGCACACCAGCATGCTCCCCTCGCCACCAGTCACTTGATGCCCGAGCATACAGCCGTAGCACATCACCTCGCTGGAATGTCAGCTCCTGGGCTGTCCGGCCAGTGTAGGCAAAGCAGGCCACAGCCTCCACAACTCCTTCCTGGTCTGTCAGGAAAAGAGGGTCAGGCTGAGGGTAGAGTGGGTACACAGGTAAAGGATGGGGTAGAGCCTCCCTGCTTGATCCCTCCTCACCATCCTCCTGAGCTGTGGTCCCAGCTTCCAACTCCAGCTCCCCAACAAGGTTCTCCAACTGGCCATCCCTGATGTTTCAAGCAGAGTAAGGCAAGCTTTCCTCCACTAAATTCCCTCTCCCCCAAGAAGCCCCCAAAGCATACCCCAGGCAGCTGGCAGAAGGTGGTGCCATGCATTTCTCATAGATGGGGCCTGGCAACATAGTCAGGGATGGGAAAACTCGAGCTGGTTGAAGGATAAGAGTCTGCACCAGCTGGTTCACCCGGCCCTGCAAGGCTACAGGGTCCTGCCCAGCAGGCACAGGCAACAGTGTGGGCCCGAAGCATACAGCCAGGTTGTAGGAGTCCATCATGTTCTCATCGCTGTACTGGGTCAGGCTGGAGAAATACACAAGTCACAGGCAGGGAGCTACAGCACTAGTGACCCCTTCACCCCCAACAGCCAACTGGCTCCCCAAAAGTACTCACTGGTTGAGGAAGGTGAAAAGATATCGCAGGACTACTAGCACGGGTCTGGGTAGTCTGGACAGCAGATGGCTCACAGGCTCCACCCGCTCACCCACAGCCTCCAGTTCTGTGGTCAAGGCAGCCCAAGAGAGCAGACTGAGTAAAGTTGTAACCACTAGCATTAGTGGGTGGTCCTCCTACCCAGCTGGCCTCGGGCCTCACCTGCTGAGGCCAGCAGCTCATTAAACATGTCCAAGGGGAAGAGTGGGGGCTCCAGGCTCCGGAAGTACAGCTTCAGTACCCCAGCCACTGAGTCTAGGTCATGAGCAGTACAACCTTCCACCAGAGGATCCTCCCCTGTGGAGGATAACATGATAAAATGAAGAGGTTACCCGTGCCTACTGAAGCCACTGCCACACTTATCCATTGGTCCTCACCTCTTTCAAAGGCATCTCGGATCTCAGAGATCCGGGCCTGGGCACCTGATACCCGGAAGATGCCTTCATGCTGCAGGCCTATGGAAGACAAGGAGCTGATAGGCAGAATCCCTTCTCTCACAAATACCCAGTGCCAGGGTGGCAGAAAATAGGCTACACTTACCATTGAGGTTAATGAAACGGATACAGCTCTCCACCACAGGGGGCACAGGTTGGCCTGAGCTCTGGAGACAGAGAACACATTTATTTCACTAGGACACAGCATGTCCTCTGGTCATTCTATCGCTTTTCTCCTAATAGTGTTATAGTGTAGTTTATTGGAATCTCCATGAAGAAACTGATTTGCTGGTGCCATCACTTTACCTTTTATTTGTAAATTGTTGCAACTGTAACAAGGCAATCAAAATCCAGGTGTTGACTTTCAGTCAAAACACTGCAAAACTTATATCTGCTCATTTTTAGGGATGGTTTGATTCTTATGAATACTCTAGGTACATAATGGTACAATTGCAAATGATACTGTTATTTTTTCCTCCCTTCTGTCTGAGACAGCACCTCATTAACCCCAGGTTGGCCTAAAACTTGCTATGTAGCTGAGGCTAGCCTTGATCTCCTGATCCTCCTGCCTCCAACCATTAAGTGCTAGATTAAAGGCTACACCGCCACACCTGGCTCTTTCAGATCTCCACTGCATTCCTTTTTTTGCTGTTTAGAATTGTCAAGGCCATACGGGCTAGAAGTATGGCCTATAAGCATCTTGTGCTGATCCTAATCACATGGGGGGAACTCTGAACACCTTATCCCTAAAAATGTTGCCGCCCCAGGTTTTCTTTTCTTTTTTCTTTTCAAGTATTAATTTTTAAAGATTTTATGTGCATTGGTGTTTTGCCTGCATTCATGTCTGTGTGAAGGTGTCGGATCCCCTGGAACTGGAGGTACAGACAGTTATGAGCTGCCATGTGAGTACTGGGAATTGAACCCAGCTCCTGGAGCTCCAGGTTTTCTGAGTTTAAGAGTTCCCTTTAAAGCTGGGTGGTGGTGGCACATGTCTTTATTCCCAGCACTTGGGAGGCAGAGGCAGGCAGGTCTCTGTGAGTTTGGGGCCAGCCTGGTCTACAGAGTGAGAATCTGTCTCAAAAAACAAAAAGCAAACAACAGTAACAAAAAAAATAGTTCCCTTTAATTGTGTACAGGACACTGGGAAGCCCAGGGAGACCTCAGCAGCACTGGCAAATGGCTTGCATAGGAAGAGGCACTTGAGCTCCACCCAGGAAGGTTGGGACTAGAGAGCACTGGGATTAGGCAGTTGCTTGGGCCACCAAAGCTGGAGAAAGACCAGAAGGGACAGGGATGGCCTCCAATGAGTTGGAGTGTGGGGCAAAGCAAATACCCGGATAAACTTCTCCAGGTCACCTCCAAAGAGTCTCTGGTTACACTGGGAGTTAGGAAGGGTATGGTGGCTCTTGTGGAATTTTCTCTCTGTGCACTGGGTCCTGAAAAGAATGGGAACTTCCTCTTAGGGGAACAAGCCATGGAGAAGCCTTCCCATCCCTAAGCCAGCCAGGCCACAGGGTGCTGGCAGTAGAGCTAGAGCTAGATAGTAAGAATAGGGAGATGGGGACCTCTAAATATGCCAGTACCTCATCAAGGACTCACCAAGATGTTTTTCGCTCTTCCTTGTTACCTGGAAAGGAGAAAATATTGGTCTGTCTCTCAGGCTAGGGATCTTCAATTAACCCCAGAGAGAGGAGGCTTGGACTGAAAGCTCAGGATAGTAAAAGGATCAAGGGGTAGAAGAGAAGTCAGTACCTATGCTCGGTTAGTCCCTGCATGCCAAACAACCTCTCTGGTCAAGGAGGAGCATGGATCAGATCAGAGGGAGGAGGACAGGGGCAGCTTTGGGCCCTAGAGAGGGTGTACCTGGAGCAGGACCCACCTCGTTGTATGGCCTCCTGCAGCTTTTCATGCTTGGCCTGCAGCTTGGCAAGAATGCTCCGGCCACTCAGATACTCCTGCAGCTTCTGGAAAACCCAAAGAAGAGTCCCTAGTTTGAACCTCAACTCAGCCTCCTTTCCCTCTGCTGCCCTTTGTGGCCTTGTTCCGCCAGTCCAGCCCCACCGTAATGTAGAAGGTCTCTGTCTCCTGCTGCTGGCTCCGTCTTCGGCCTGTCTGTCGGGTGCCTGGGTCTGAGTTTGTGGACTTGAGGGACTCAGTGGAGGGGCTGGCCTGCAAAGGGTCCAGCATGTCCCCATCCTCTGATGCCACCACCTCTAGCAGAGCCTGAAGTGTTGCCTTCAGTGTCTTATTCACCTGAGGGGACAGTGCCAGGGCAGTGAGTAGAGGACAGAGTGGGAGCAAAGAAGCCTAAATCTGCAGAAAGAGGAAAGGAAAGCTACTGCCAACTAGGAAGGAACTGTCTGGGCAGCTGAAGCTGAAGAAAGCTCTAAGGCCTGTTCCCACCCCAGGCTTGGCCATTCATGCCTCTTCTGTCTCGATGGTCTTTTGGTCCAGGCGACTCTGGATGTTTTGGGCTCTGGGCAAAATCTCATCCCGAAGTTCCATCTCAACCTGGATCTTAGCCACCTGCAGAGGGTAGTACCAGGGACTAGGCCAGGGCACAGAATTCAGACAAGGCATTAAGGATAGGCCTGAGGAAACATGGTACATCTCTGTTGCTTGCCTCCAACTCCTGAGTGCTAGGATGACAGGCATTCACCACCATGCCAGGTTTATGGGGTGCTGGGAATAGAACCAAGGGCTTCTTCATGCATGTTAGGTAAGCACTCTACTCTAAAAGTTTATGAGATGAGGACAGATGTCAGGTTAGAAATGATGCTGTATGCCTGATATGGTGGTGCACACCTTTAATCTCAGCAGTCAGGAGGCAGATGCAGGCAGATCTCTGTGAGTTCAAGGCCAGCCTGATCTACAGAGAGAGTTCCAGAACAGCCAGGGCTACACAGAGAAACCCTGTCTTGGAAAAAAAAAAAAAAGAAAGAAAGAAAAGAAAAGAAAGAAAGAAAGAAAGAGAAAGAAAGAAATGATGCCGTATGCCAGGTGGTGGTGGTACATGCCCTTAACCCCAGCACTGGGAAAGCAGAGGCAGGTGGATTTCTGAGTTCGAGGCCAGCCTGGGCTACAAAGCAAGTTCCAGGACAGCCAGGCTGTTACGTAAAGAAACCCTGCTGGGCAGTGGTGGTGCACACCTTTAATCCCAACACTCAGGAGGCAGAGGCAGGTGGATCTTTGTGAGTTCGAGGCCAGCCTGGTCTACACAGCGAGATCCAGGAAAGGCGCAAAGCTACACAGAGAAACCCTGTCTCGAAAAACCAAAAAAAAAAAAAAAAAAAAAAAAAACCCGAAGGAAGGAAAGAAAGAAGAAATTATTCTGCATGCTATATTTCCTCCCAAGTATTTATTATGAAATTTGTTGGTGGTGTTGTCAGTTTGTCTGTTTGTTGACAGGTTTTTACACTGAAGCCCAAGCTGTGGGTTTCATTATGTAGTCCAGGCTAGCCTTAAACTTAGGGTAATCCTTTTGTCTTCATTTCCCCAGTGCTAGGATGACTGGCATGCACTACCATATATGGCTACAAAGAGTTTTCAACGTATACTGTATGGTCAGCCATCTGGACATGCTGTGGTTGCATTGTGTTTGATGGCAGCCCCCTAAGTGAACTGCCACAGCAAACTGTTCTAATGGGCCAGAGGCCATGGATTAAAGAGCTGAGAAATAAGGACCTTCAGCATCCTGGAATTTGTTTGTTTTGTTTTAGCAAAGTGTAAATTATGTGACTGACCCACATTAGCATGAAATCCAGAGAATGTGAAGCCCTTTGAAATCATGCTTGGGCTTTAAGGGTAGCAGGAGTAGGGGGTGCAATAAACTAACCCTCACCTCATCACCTTCATGGGGCTGGTAGTCAAAGCGTGGATCGGGACAGAAGGCCCTGGCATGAACCTCAAGCACCTTGGCCTTGTCCCCTGGAGGATCTAGGGCCTCCAGAGCCTCTTCCAGGCTGCCCAATCCCTGCATCTGAGAGGCGTGGGTGCGGTTCTCTGCAGCTGTGTAGCTCCGGAGGGCCTGCCCCAGGGCCAAGTGGAAACCTGTGTCACAGCACTGGGAAGAAGCAAGCAGACACTGTTGTGGGCCTGAAGCCAGAGCCAATGGCTCCAAGCATTTAAGCTCCAATACCATAGTCCACTTGCCTGCCCACACAGGACTTACATCCATGAGGTCCAAAATATCATGCAAGTAGTAGTTGCTGACGGCGGCATTGACACTGGCCAGGCTGAGCAGGTACTCGTTTCGGGCCTTAGTGCACTTAAGTTTATGCTCCAAGAACTTGGCCTGACGCTGCTCAAGACACCAAGGCACACCAGGGTCACCCATGTGGAGACCACTCTTATCTCTACTTTTTCACATTCCCTCTACCAACAAGCATGCCCAATGTGCCACAGTCCCTCATACTTAACTTGACATGAACTTCTTTATGCTGCCACACACCAACCCTTGGTGCACCCTCAGTGCTCAGTGCTACTGTGAACAGAGTCTCCTACTCGACTCCCACAACCTGTCTTGACTCCCTAGCTCTTAACTGGCTACTTTTGATCTCTTGGCAAGGGCTAATCCCCTCACCCCCGCTCTTACCTTGGTTTGAGTCCCCAACATGCCTCACCGTCATTCTCCAAAGAAGTGGAAGTAGGACACATAGAAACAGATGGCTAAATAAAAGGCATTCATATTCACACCCTGTGACAGAGGTATGAACTAGGAAAATGTATGAGAAAGCCACTTAGGCTCCACATGGGGGTGGCACAAAACAAAAGCCATTGCTCTCAGCCCCACTTAGCTTGGAGCCTGTCCATTCTTTCCATGGGGTCCCCTTGAATGCTTCTCCCAGAATGGCACCGAGTCTCACTCATCCTGAGTTCTTGTGCTCCTAAAAACTCCTAAAAGCTAGCTAGGGAAAAGTCATCCAGGCTTAGAGTACTACAGCTCTGTGCTCTAGCAGGGCAACATGCTTGGAGCATAATGTGATAGAACCAATCTTTCACTGTGTCTTTCCCTATCTTTCAGGTCTGTTGAAATCTCAGAGCTATCAGGTCTGACCAGGAAGAAAAAAAACTTGCTAGAGGCCTATGGTTCTTCCCCCACACTTTTGCCCCAGGGACAGCCAAGAGCTTATAGGAAGAAAGGCCCCCTGGACAAAGGCCAGAGCCATCAGAGCTGGACAGAGAGGGGGCCCACAGCTTTCCAGGCCCACCTTCTCCACTAGCCGCCCTCCTTTCTTGAGAGAGCTCTTTCGGAGGGGCCCTGTCTCAGTGGTGGTAACAGTAGTCGTGGTGCTGGCAGAGGCAGCAGTGCTGGTGGGCAGGGCATTCCGGCCTGACCGCTTCTCCTCCTGCCGCTCAGCTTCCCGGAGTTTGGTCTCAGCATTCATGCTCTCCAAGTGGTACACGTGATATGTCTTCTTGGTCTACAGGGAAGCCCAGGAAAGGAAGCCCTGCTGAAGGTCATGACCAGGAACAGTACCCCTCAGCGCCCCTGGGATTCAGATCTGAGGGTTGGGCCATTTTACCTAAGTATGTTGTCATCTAACCACTCTGTCCCCAGAGCATAGAGGCCCATGCCTGCTGTTCCCTCCCGCCCCCACCCTTAGGTCATCCCTGAGCACCCATTCTCTTGAGCCTCACTGGGAGATGCAATGGCATGAGACTGTTCCTGCTTCCCCCTGATCAGCACACAGTGGGTCCTGCTTACTGTCTGGAGTTCTGAGACCACCTCCAGGAGCTCATCCTGCAGCTGCTGCACCAGGTCCTTACTCTAGAGATGAAGGGGTATGTGTGACCATAGCATTGCCTCCCACCATCCTGTGACAACCCATCCCACCTGAGATTGGTACAAGCCAACCTTGAGTTGCAACTTCCACCTGGCCCCCCATGCCTCTTAACCACAGTACCTCCAGATAGATCCCCATTGGCTTTGTTAGATCCTGAGGCCCTCCACAACTTGTGTTACCCTACCTTTTTGACTATGCGTCCCACATCCTCAGCAATATGACTCAGGCGCTGAGCCAGGGGCCCAGCCAGCACCTCGCTGAGGGCGGCACTTTCTCGACTCTGCTGCCGTGTGTGCTCCAGCAACACAGACCAGCAGTGCAAGGGTGACAAGAGAGTCGGCTCCTTCCTGTAGCAGAGGAATACTCAGACCAGGGAGCCTAGGTCTTAGGCCCTACAAGGTACTGCTGCCAGTGTGATACCTACCGGAAGCTTTGCTGCTCCCGGCTGCTGCCCCCCAGACGACCACTGCGGCTGGCAAAGCGTTCAGCCAACTTGTCCAGGCCCCGAGAGTACTCCAGCTCCACCTCTGCCCGGCGCCGCATGAACTCAGCTAGTTCCTGCAGCAAATCTCGCCGCAGCTCTCCCTGAAGCTCCAGGCAACGGAGCTGCTCACTCAACTGCGAGCGCATCTCTGCAAGGGGACCTTGGTTCAGGCCTGGCCGACATGCATGGCGTGAACCAACCAGGCCAGTAAGAGGTAAGGGAGGCAAAGACAGACAGACAGACAGACAGGCATCCTGTCCACACCAAAGGTTCCTTGGCACCTGACTGAGCTAAAAACTGGAAGTAAGTGCAGAACAAAGAAGGGTGCCCTGAAGCAAGGTACCCAGGCTCAGCAGCCCCTGTGCACTTGGGAAGGGCCCTGAGGCAGAAAACTCTGTGCTGTGGCTTCTAAACAGATACAAGAAGCTGCTCAGGGGCAGGACTGCTGTGGCACTCTGCCAAGTCTTCAGGGACTTCAGACCAGGTCAAACTGGTCCCATAGTGTTCTGGTCAAGGTTGATAAGTGAAGGGACGGAGGAGCTGGCCTAAGTTTTCTGTTTGTTGTTTTCTACTGGCAGTTACCCACCCCAGAGTTTTTCCCTCTATCCTACAGGGGAGTCATAGCTGAGGGCCCCACACCACCACAGGCCTTTTGACATCTTATCTCTGGCTTGATTTAGCAATACTTCTTCCCTCACCCATATCTCAAGCAAAAGCTGCCTGTCTTGCAAGCTGCTAGCAACATGATGCCCCACATACCCAGACCAAAGACCCAGATGAGCACCACAACCCACGTATCAATACATTAAGCAAAAAGACACACTGTCTTGGCTTCTAGAAAGCAGGATGTCCACAGATAGGTCTTCAGCCATATCCTCAGAGCAGAACACTAATTGATTTCTTCATTTAGTAGAATGGTGACTTCGTATCTATTTCATTCCAGGCATATTCTAGACACAGTGCCTGCTCCACTGGAGTTGGGACCATAGTGGGGGAGGGATAGCATGGGAAAAGAGCCATGGTAGATTGGGAAGAGAGCTATGGTAGAATGGCCAGGAGCAATGATTGGTTATAAGATGCACACACAGGCCAAGTGTGGTGGTGCACATCTGTAATAGCAATACTTAAAAAGTACAAGCAGGAATATCCAAAATTCAAGATCATCTTTGGCTACATCTTTGAGGCTTGCCTGGGCTACAGGAGACACTGCCTTAAAAAAAAGTATACAAGGGCTGGAGAGATGGCTCAGGGGTTAAGAGCACTGACTCTTCTTCCAGAGGACCCGAGTTCAATTCCCAGCAACCACATGGCAGCTCACACCTGTCTGTAACTCCAGTTTCAGGGGACCCCGACACCCATGGCAAGACCACAAATGCACATAAAAAAATAAAATATATTCTAAAAAAAGTATACAAAAAGCAAGGGGGAGCCAGGCAGTGGTGACATACACCTCTAATCCCAGCACTCGGGAGGCCAGCCTGGTCTACAGAGTGAGTTCCAGGACAGTCAGGACTGTTACAACAGAAAAACCCTGTCTCAAAAACAAACAAACAAACAAAAAAAGCAAGGGGGAGGAATTTGGAAGGAGGGGAGGGGGGCAGATGACCAAAAGCTTGTGGTCTAGGATTCCAGCTGAATGCCCAGGGAAAGGCAAGCCAGGGGGTAGAGCCCTATGGACTCATTTCATTTTCAGGGTCCCTCTGGCTACTGTGTAGAGCCCAAGGGGCAGCTACTACACTTGTCTAAGGAAAATATGGTGGGTACTGGGAGCCAGTCTGAAAGGCAAGCCCCAGAGTTCAATAGAAATCCACTGTGAAGAGATCAGAATGGGTGGACTTTTGTCTTGACAGTGACTTTCCTAGGGCTATGAGATGAAAGGCCTCCTTAGGTATCTCCTGCCCAGACCTCCCCATCTCCCCTTCTAATTTCCTTTCTCAGTATGTCCCCTGCCTGCTCTCAGACTCCACTCTATGGTGGGACTTACTTCTTTTCCTGAGTCCAGGTGCTCCAGATCCAGCTGCCTGCATGGCCTACTCATCAGCCTTCTACCCTACACACTGGACTCTCTTGGGGTGGGCTTCTTAACCTGGTCACTGGATTGCTAAATTTCTACCATGGGGACAAGTCAGGCAGAAGGGAGCTTGTGTGTGTGTGTGTGTGTGTGTGTGTGTGTGTGTGTGTGTGTGTGTGTGTATGTGTGTGCAAACCCCCAACACTGAAGCCAAAGCAAAGCCCACAATACCAAGTGTCACTGTCACCAGCCTCCTGTGGCTGAAGTGGTGTATGCCAGCCAGCCACTCATTAGGATGAGTGTTAATGCTGCTGACTTCAATTAGGGGAATCTCTATTAAATGAGACTAAAGGTTTTGAAGAATGGCAATTTAAGTTCATTCCAAGCAGGGTCTCAAGAGTCCCCAGCATGCCCTTCCTTGTAGGTTGCCCTGCCCTCCAAAAAGGATGTGCTGCCAAGGAGGGACCTATTATAGCTGCACAATGCTAAGTGCACCCTCAGACCACAGTATTGTATGGGTTCTCCACCAGTAGCAATAGCATTTCGGGTCTGAACATGCACACCAGCCGGTGTCACAGAGCTATAGATTGCAAGCCAATTGCATCTGAGGTCCACAGAAGGCAGGAAACTGCTGCCCCAAGACTCCAGGCTGTGCCATGGCAGAGCTTTCAGATCTCAGCTCAAAGAGAACTCTACCAAACTAGCTCTGGCCCTTGTCTAGCCCCCATGTGCTCTTGGCACCTTGGCTGTCCTTTGCAGTAGTTATCATCATACATGAAATCAACTGTGTGCAATTTTTCTCTCCTCAGGCCTATGAACCACCAAGAAGGACTGCTTCTCTTTTATACAATAAAGTATTCCCAGAGTCTAGAGCAAAACAGATGTATTTAAAAAAAAAAAAGGTCTGGCAGCTGAGTGTGGTGGCACAGGCTTGCTATCCCAGCCCTGGAAGGTTGAGGCAGAGGATGCTGCGAGTTACAGACCAGCTTGAGTAAAATAATGAGTTCAAGACTAGCCTGAATTACAAACCAAGCTCCAGTCCCACCCACCCAAACAAACAAACAAAAGAACTGCTGACAAAAAGGAGTGAGAAATCCTGCATATTTGCATTGCAAAGCTGGGACCCAGGCCCCTCCAGCACTTCCTGTGAGCCAGGCATTCACTCTCACTTCTGCTGACCAGTGGAGTAGAATAGATGGCCTCCAAACCACGACTATGCTGACCTTTCAGAATTTAAAGTCTGAAGACAGTGCCCCTGTTCCAGCATAGTCGGAAGACCTTTTTTCCTTTTTTTGAGGGAGAGCCATGAGAAATAAAAGCCACAAAAGCTAGACACCCTGAATGAGCAAGGGCTATCTTAAAGACAGTCTTGTGCCAAACTTCAGTTTCTTGGTGAGAACTGACCTGTGTTTGCTGATTGAAGTGATTGAAGACTTTTCAAGGTCCTTGGGCTTCATGACAATGTTTGTTGTTTTTTTGTTTGTGTTGTGTGTTTTTTTTTTTTTTTTGATACAAGGTTTCTCTGTAGCCCTGGCTGTCCTGGAACTCACTCTTTAGACCAGGCTGGCTTTGAACTCAGAGATCCACCTGCCTCTGTCTCCCAGAGTGCTGAGATTATAAGGCATGCACCACCACCTCCCAGCTGCTTCTCAACATTTTGAGGAAGTAGGATAGGATCTTTGTCTCCACCTGCTGGCTCACCCTCTGCAGTCACCTCAAGCTGGCTCTGGACACCAAGATGAGGACTAGGTCAAACTTTCAAAGGCAGCTATGCTCACCACTATAGCAGCAACCATCACTAAGACACACTTTGGTATAAGTTGCTTGCACCAAATAAGAACATTGGAATTGCATCTACAGGTTGGAAAAATCCAAAGGTCATTTTATTCCTCTTCTTGGGAGCTGTTGTGCTATGTGACACTGCTTCTCTGAGCTTGTATCCACAACAGGTTAAAAAAAAAAATAGAGTGGTAATGGGAGTCAAGATATCTGGAGGCAACAAGAAACTGGGGGAGGGGCAGTTAGATGCTGCCTCCTTTCCTGTGCAAGAGTTACCTACCACACCCTGAAGAAATGAAGCTGCCAGCTAAGAACTTACAAAGCTTATTTGCATGTGATTTGCATCGACCTGTTTGTCAGAATCCAGAGGTCTAATATCCCAAGGCTGTAAAGTCAGTCCAGTTGAATTTCTCTAACTCACATTCAGTCTTTCAACTTGACCCAGGGCCAACAACCCTAAGCAAGCTATTTGAGTGCCAAAGGGAGGCGAAGGTGCTAAGGCTTCATGGATTCTAGTGGTGTTAAGAGTGAGGTGTCAGGCCATCAGAAAAGTCAAGGTGGCCCATTACATCCATCTAGAAAGCCACCCTCTCGGTCTGCCCTTCCCTCAGGCTACCAGAGTCATTGCTGCCTGAGTGAGCAGCAGGCGAGCCAAGTTGAGTACAGAGGGGAGAGGAAGGGCATGAGCAGGCAGTTGAGGCCAAAGGCTCCAAGAAGCAGGGGCTGGGCTCCCTCCTCCACCCCGTTCCGGGGATATCTGAGGTTCAGCAGCGGACACTCGGGGGTCTCCGCAGTAAACCAGGCCTGAAGCGCCCTCTCACCTTTGACTTGTGCCTCATACTCAGCCTGCGGCCCCCGCTCCCGCCGCAGCTTCCCGTGCGCCGCCATAGTCGAGGGCTGAGCGTGCCTTCGAGTCCCGATGCTCCCACGCGGCGGCAAAGCGAGACCGCGGAGCACAGGGACCAGGGGCTCCAAGGCCAGCACAGTCCGCCAGCTCCGCCCTGCCCCGCCTCGCCCCGCCCCCAGCACGGTCCCCGGGAGGGGCGGGGCGACCAGGACCAAGCGCTGCCTGCTGCTTGGGTGGGCTTCTTAAGGACAAGGCGCCCCTTCCCAGCACACGGCTCTTGAGGCAAGCTGTCTTGCTCTGCTCCTCTACTTAGATCACCTTGAGCCCTAAGATTCAGCATCAAGCAGCCAATGCAAGAGAGCCCCAACATGCCTGGGACCACCTGCTGCTGTTCCTCACCATCTGCAGAAAGCTATCTGTGGTCCCCAAAGTCAGACCACACCCCTGTGCCCACTGGCCCTCAATACTAGTGGACATTGGCGCCATAGCTGCTCCAGTCCCTAGACGACCTCCCTCCCCCCAGCCTCCCTGGACATCAGATGCCATCCTCCTTCCTGGAGTCACAGGCCTGAGTGAGGCCTAAGGGAGCCCTGACAGCTAATGGGAAGTTCCCCAGAGAACTGCAGGCCTGTGTCCCTTCTGGGCCCCGAGGGGGAGGAATAGTGTTCAGCTACAGTTCCCCTTCTACTCAGCACCAAAGGAAAGAACTAGCCTCATTTCCCCATAGGTAGTTACCACTTCCTGCTGCCGGAAAGAGACTCTTTTTGTCTCTTTTCCCTTGCATCTTGCACCTGTAGGGACCTATACTCTGAGACAGCCTGGGAGCAACTCCTATTGCCTCTTTTATCTAGGGATAAAGGGGATTTGCTCCACCCCCACCAACTCTAAGCCAGAGGGCAAGACCTACTCATCGGTCAATTTGTGATGTTTTGTATTACAAGTTTAGAGATAGGGTCTCGTTCATAGGGTTTCACTCTGTAGCCTTGGTTGGCCTGGTACTCCTTACACAATCCAGGCTGGCTTCAAACTTGAGGCAATCTTTCTGCCTCTGCCAAGTACAAGAATTACAGGTATGTACAACCACACTAGGCTTTTCTACTCAGTTGGGAAGGCAGGAGGCAGATGACAATCCACCTGTCTTCAGTTCGATGGAGAAGGTCCTGGGGTATACAGATAGTAAGAGAAAGGCAAGGAACTTAGGTGCTAAAATACAAAAGGAGTCCAGACCTGTACATGCACGAATGGATATCAAAGTGCATGTGAACACATATGACACTGACCTGGAGTTCTGGCAGGAGGGGGAGACTATTCTGGCTCTTCAATTGTATGCAATCAACTTTCTTGGCCAGAAAGAATACTTACTCCCTTAGTTCTTGGTCTCTACTTGCTTAGTACCAAAGCCTTTCTCTAAGATGCTGCCAGGTGCTCACAGAGACTTGAAGAAAAGGCCTGGAAGCTAGCTAGAAGTTGACAGGCCCAAGTCTTCGACTTCCAGAAGCTGGTATCAGAAGTAGCAATGTTGGAATCCTCCATCAAGTAAAGCAAGCTTGTATGTCTTCTCACAACACATGAATGGGCATGCATCCATGTGAGCTCCTTTGTCAGGAGACACATTCTAACAGTGCCTCACACAAGTCCCTTTATTTGTCAAAGCAACCCACCCTACCTGCCTTCCATTCTATCTGAGCCTTGACTAATCCTAAAAGTCCTTCATCCACCCAGCAGAGCCCAGCCAGGGCAGGATTCAGAAATCAGGCACACAAGAAATGGCCACTGAACTGGCCTTCAAATGTTCTCAGTCCTTACTCCAGGAATCTGAATGGTGCCCCATTCAGTCCCTTGGCATGAAACTGAATGAAAGGCAAAACAGAAAAGCTGAGTGATTGCCCTAGCTCTTAGGACACTTGTTTGGCATCTGAAGCTATGAGTGAAACTGCTTTTTGTATCTTTAGCTCATGTTCCTTTTTTTTTTTTGAGACAGGGTCTCACTCTGTAGCCCTGGCTGTCCTGGAACTCACCATGTAGACCGGGCTGGCTTTGAACTCACAGGAATTAGCCAGCCTCTGCCTCCTGAGTGCTGGGATTAAAGGCATGTGCCAGCACACCTGGACTATTCCTTTTTGGCTTTAAAAAAATCTTATTAGATTTATAGTCACTTAATTTTATGTGTTTTGCTTTTATATGTGCAATGTGTGTGTGTGTGTGTGTGTGTGTGTGTGTGTGTGTGTGTGTGTGTGTGTGCTTGGTGCCCATGGAGACCAGAAGAAGGTCTCAGATACTAGATACTGGAATTACAGATGATTGTGAACCTCCAAGTGGGTGCTGGGAATTGACCCTCTGAAAGAACAAGTGCTCTTAACCACTGAACCTTCTCCTCAGCTCCCTTCTTTTTGGCTTTTTGAGACAGGGTCTCATTCAGTTGCTCTGGTCAGACTGGAGCTTGCTATGTAGACCAGACTGGCCTTGAATTCATAGAGATCTGCTTGCTTCTGCCTCCCCGTGCTGAGACTAAAGGCGTGCACCACCACCTCACCTGGCTAGCTCCTGTTTTAAGACTCCAAAACCTGCAGGGCAGGGTGAGAGTTGGTGAGTGGTGGTTCAGAGGCAAGCCAGGGTTGCAGGGTGACTTCCAGGCCAGCCCTTATATGCTACAGAGTGAGACCCTATCTCAAAAATCAGATAAGCTGGGTGAGGTGATGCTCACCTAGAGGCAGAGATCAGGGTTATATATGGAGACTCTGTCAAAACAAACAAACAAACAAAAATAAAACCCCAAAAGATAGGCAATGGAGATGGTTCCAAAGTAGTTAAGAGCTCTTCCAGAGGACAGAGTTCTTAGATTCCAGAGGCAGCTCACAACTATGTAATACTTCACTTCTAGGAGGTCTAATGCCCTCTTCTGTACTCTGAAAGAACCCACACACACAAACATACATAGACACAAAAATAAAAATAAATATTTAAAAAGAGAGCTCTTAAATATTTTTTAAAAAGCTAGATCTACAGGATTATTTCTGGCAGGGTGTCACTATGCAGGCCAGTCAGAAATCCAACTGTTTATATTCAACATGAAACCATAATGGTCAACGTATTTGACTTTACGCAACTTATCAGAACCTATAGAAGAAATAAAATACCCAGAGCTGCCAGGCGGTAGCTGAGAGAGAGAGAGAGAGAGAGAGAGAGAGAGAGAGAGAGAGAGAGAGAGAGAGAGAGAGAGAGAGAGAGAGAGAGAGAGAGAACACTCTGTCTCAAAAAACAAAACACAACAAAATCACAAAGAACCCAAAAACACAAACCACTCAGAGCTGTCTGCCTCTGTCTCCTGGAGTGCTGGGAGCCCTTTCTGTTTTGTTTTGTTTTTTTAATTTTTATCTTATGTGCATTGATATTTTGCCTGCATATATGTGTCTGTGTGAGTGACGGTGTCAGATCCACTGTAACTGGAGTTACAGACAGTTGTGAGCAGCCACGTGGGTGCTGGGAATCGAACCTAGGTCATCCAGAAGAGCAACAAGTGTTCTTAACCACTGACCCATTTCTCCAGCTCCGCAAGACCTTAAAAAAAAAAAAAAAGACCTTTTTAAATACGTGGAAGAATGTACATTTGGTCCTGAGGGATGACCACACGGCTGATGTAATCAGACTGCTTGGCTACTGTGGACAGAGGGAGATGACACGAACCCTAAGGACAGTGGGGCTCCGGAGAGAAAAAAAATGATTAGGCAGTGAGAGTATATTCTGGAGCAGCATCCCTAGAGTCAATCCCAGCCACCCTACCCTCTGCCTTCCAGCCTCAGCTCACAAAGGCACCTAAAGCCGGTGCTTCCAAGAGACGGATGAAACAAAGGAAGTGCTGGGCCCCCAAGGCCTAGCAGGCCTGCGGTTTCCCCCTCCACCGCTCCTACCTCCGCCCAGGAAACCTAACCAACTAGGGGCGGAGCGGACAGCAGAACTTCAACCCGCCGCCAATGACACCCAGGGCAGAGGGTGGGCCTCCGCAAGGGCCTTAGGAAAATTCGCGCGTTCCCTCCCACCAACTCTGGGGCGCCGCCGAGCCCGCCCGCATATCTACATGTTCTTCAACGGGCCTTTATTTTGGCGTTGTAAAACCAATCAGAGCCTGGGAACTAAGAACGTCACCGGTTTATGAACCGGAAAGGAACGAGCCTCAGACTCTTTCAAAGGAAGTACAATCAGAAAAGGGGAGGGGGGAAGCCTTGCACAGGCGCAACTTTTCTTCCCAGGCTCTGCCCTCCAGCTTTCTCAGTTTCTGAAGGATCATTTATACAGCCAAAAAGAGAACTAAGCTCCAGGACAAATTATTCAACCTAGCGACAGACCGCTGTGTCACTTGCGGGAGCAGGGAAATTGTTAGTATAGTGACAGCTCAGATGTTAGGTGCTCTTGGGTCACCAGTGATGGTTTAAAAGCCAGAAAGCACATTTAGGAGTGAGGTTGACTCACTTTTTCCCTTTTTTGCTTAAAAAAAAAAAAAAAAAGCTGGGAATGGTGACTCACACCTGAAACCTCAGCACTTGGAAGACTAAAACAAGAGGATTAGGATGTAAGGCCAGACTTGGCTACATAGTAAATTAGTTCATGACCACCCTGAAATACTTGAGACCCTGTAAAAGAAGGGAAGAGCCAGGTGGTGGTGCACACCTTTAATCCCAGCACTGGGGAGACAGAGGCAGAGGCAGAAGGATCTCTGTGAGTTTAAGGTCAGCCTAGTCTACAAAGCGAGTTCCAGGACAGTAAGGACTGTTACACAGAGAAACCCTGTCTTATGCACTTACCAGAACTGTCTCAGCATAGCAACAAATACAGAATATTCATGGGGGAGCTGGCTGGGATGGCTCACACTTGTAATCCCAGTACTTTGGAGCCTGAGGCAGGAGAATTACCACAAGTTTGAGGCCAGTTGGGCTACATAAGTTCCAGGCCGGTTTGGGCTAAGGAGATCCTGACTCAAAAAGATGAATAAGGGCTGGAGAGATGGCTTAGTGGTTAAGAGCACTGGCTACTCTTCCAGAGGACCTGGGTTCAATTCCCAGCACCCACATGGCAGCTCACAGCTGTCTGTAACTCCAGTTCCAGGGTATCTAACTCCTTCATGCACATAAAATAAAGTTAAATAAATTATTTTTAAAAAAAGATGAATAAACAAAATAAAGGAAATGAAGCTGGTAATGGTGAATGTCAGTATGCAAAGAACACCTTAGAGGATCAGGACTTTGAGGCCAACAATTAGTGCTAGGAATGCGGTTCAGTTGGTAGAGTGCTTGTCTAACATCCAAGAGGCCCCGAGTTAGATCTCCAGCACTGTATGAACTGAGTGTGGTGGCACAAAGACCCAGCCTAGCTAAAATTTAAAAAAAAAAAAAGTATTAATGTGATTGAACCCACAGGACCTAATGACTGTTGGGATGGTATGGAGGAAAGAATTATGGATAATGAAGAAGGAAAAGCCTGAGCAACTGGTAGCTAAATAGGCCATGATCCGGCTAGGACATCTCCAGATAAGTGAAATAAGAAGTTGGACTTAGACTTAGGCATTTGGGGTCCAGGAGGTATGAACTGGAGCTGTTGCAGATGAGAGCAAGTATGACCAGGAGAAAGGGCTAAAAGTGGGACATTAAGAGGGCAAAACAGTGCAGCAAAGAGTATCATGATGGGAAAGTTGCCTCTGAAATTCGAGGCTGACTAGAACCAAGAAGTCATTTAGTTCAGCCCTAGAAAATTATTAAGGAAGTCAATGAGGCCTACAGGCCAGGAAGGTTGCAGCAGAATAGGGCACCCAAGTCAGTTTATCTGCCAACCCCAACTCAGTTGCTGAAGGTGGCCAGATTCTCCAAATCCGTTTGACTTGTGAGCTGAGTAGGCTCTGGTTTGTGAAGATGATATCCCTGCCATAAAGGAGCTGGAAAGAAGCACACCCCCACTATGCACATTCACAAATTCCCCAAGGCCACAGGGTGACATTTATTGTAAAAGCATACGGGGTGAGGCTTGAACCAGGTGGGGCAGGGTCTAGGAGGCAGAGTCAGAGGCCTCTGAGCTGTCTTTGACATCTGTGCTCTCTGTGGTCTCACTGACCTCGCTGAGGTCCTTGCTGTCCCCACCACTATCCTCAGCAGCCAGGCCCTTCTCACGACAGGCCTCTCCCGAGCTCAGAAGCATGTTGCCTTTGCTCTCCGCCTTGTTCTCCATGGCCGCCAGCACCATGTGCCTGCCCTTTTCCTTCAGCTCCAGGTGCCGTCTCAGCTGCCGCCGGGAGCCCAGAGGGAAGCGGGTGGAAAGAGACAGGGCCTAAGTCTCCAGACAGGAGACAAGAGCCAGGCCCTGGGGCTGGCTGGGGGAAGGGACACAGTGAGAAGTGGTAGGGCCAAGGCAGGAAATAGAACTGGGTAGAGATATAGTTCAATCCTAGCTCTGCCCTTAAACCTGTTTCCTCATCTGTAAAATGACAAGGCTCCTGCTGCACTCAAATGGGCTTCTGGGGAGCTCCCAAGACACAGTAGTGCCCCATAAATTGCCCTACCCCAGGAGGCTTGGTCAGGGACCCTTTCTCCCCAGCCCAGTTTGGTCCTAGATCTGAGCAGGCTGGCCATGACTGCCCCAACCCTAGTAGTCCCAATCCCTCTGTAGAAAATTCTCTTCCTACTGTCTCTCCTATTCCACCTCCAGGCTTCTTCCCCAGAGAACATCCCATGGCCTCCTCTATAGTCAACCAAGGCCATGCCTATACTTGTCGGCTGAGGAAGTGAGGGAAAGAGGAACTCTGACTCCTAGCTCTATAGCTACAAGGGCTGCCATTCAACCTTGGTCTTACTTCCAGCCACCACTGCCCCAACTTGCAGCTCTTAAGTAGCCACCTTTCCCAAATGCAGAATCCTCTCTACTGCTGGAATTGCTGCCCTGACCTGGCTGAACTCTTACCTCATCAGCCATCTGTGTAAGGTCCCGCTTCATTGCATATGCATCTTCCCCATCTGCATAGTATTTGGGCTCCACTTCACTGATCCTGGGGGTAGGATGAAGACACACGCCTGGGGGCAAATTCTCCTGGTTCTTAGGCTACTGGGGTGGGTGTCATCTCCCCCTGCAGGGGGTGAGGCAAAAGGCCAGGCTGAATGGATTCCTTTTTTGTTTTTCATTTGAGTGGACTCTTCCAACAGCCATGATACCTTTCTCTGCTCTCTCCAGTGAAGCCAAGCAGCATGTAGCATCCAGGACGCTTTTCATCCCTGGACTTGCCACCACTCTGCCCATAGCCTGACTAGCAAGGACTTGTGTCTTTTGAATTGAAGCCCTTAATTTTGCCTCTTCCTTCCTCTCTCTGACCTGCTCCCTGTCATTTACTGAACATATAGCTAATTCCTCTGCTAGGGAAGAGGGACACTGTACCTGCATGTAGATGGCCATCACAGACAACCTGGCTACTGCTGAAGGGAGATGTGTGTGAACACTTGAGTAGCCCTGACACTTGAAGGGAAGCCATCTGATGGCCTAGAAAGGTCTTTGTCAGCCTAAGACATTAAAGATGAGAATTGGTGTGTGTGTGTGTGTGTGTGTGTGTGTGTGTGTGTGTGTGTGTGTACACATGCTCATGTGTGCATGTGGAAGCCAGAGGTATATGTTGGGTATCTTCCTCAATTGCTTCCCACCTTATTTTTTTCAAAATAGGATCTCTCACTGAATCTGGACCTTGCCCATTCAACTGGGCTGGTTGGTTAGTGTACCCAAGGATTCTCTTGTCTTAACCTTCTCAGCACTAGGATAACAGGTGCAGGACACTGTGGCTTTTATACATGGGTGCCAGGGATCAAACTCAGGTCCTCACAAATAAGCTATTTCCTTGGCACCCCCTCTTGAGATAGGGGTTTGCTGTGTGGCTGAGACTGAGCTGGAACTCCCTATGCCAGGCTCCTAACCCACAGTCCTATACCTTCTGAGTACAGAGATTGAGAGTCATATACTACCACACCTAGTGGTGGGAATTGCTGACTTAGCATGTGAAGCAGTTCCCACCAGAGGCATCCTTAACTAGGTCAAAGATCCCTCCCTGAATCTGAGTATTGAATCCAGAAAAGCCTGAAAGCCACTGCCCTGTCCCAATGGTCTCATATTCACTCTACCCCCTCAAAGCCTAGTGTGACTCAGTGGGTCCTCCAATCAGTTCATTCCAGCCCCCTTTTATGTGGCAGTAGGTACTGCCAGGTCCTCTCTTCAATGCTAGTCTCATGGAGATGCCCATGTCTTGAGTAGACCTGCCATTAGGACATCCAGAGCTATAGGTCCCTCATTGCTTTTGCTCAAGGCCCCTTTTCTCTGCCATCCCCTTTCATCTGCTCTCACCTGATGCTTCCTGGTGCTAGTCACTTCTCAGCCTTTGCTCATGCCCCCTAGCCTATCTCTCTTTACTCCTAGACCAGCACTAAGAAGCCTTGTGTGTTCTTTACCACACTGCCCTTCACCAGCCATCTTTCCTCCACCCAGTAAGATGTGTTGGACCCCTGCTCTACCACACACACAGAAAGCAGGTGCCTTCTCCATGTCAGCTTGCCAGTGAACAGCCACTGAGTATACAGAAGGCTTCCTAGCAATGTCTGGAGTCCCTCCACTCCTTTCTCAGCCCACCTCAGTCAAATGGATGGATCATGCCAATTAAAAAAAAAAATCTTGATCTACTTACTGAAAGTTGAGAGTGTTGGAATAGAGATGCAGGGCAGCCCGGTTACTGCAGGGGAATAAGGCACTTCTGAGCTTCACAAACTTGGCCAGGCAGGTTGGCAGGCCATATCCAGGTCCTACCTTTCCCAGTCCTCCTTTCCCATTAATGCTACTTCCCATCTTCCTCTAAAGGTAGTAAACCCCAGAGCCCCTATCAATTGGGTACCTCTTCCTCCCCACTCCCCAGCATTGCCCTTTCCCCCAGCTTGGCTTCCACCTCTTTCTGACATGCAGGGAGACATATTTGGCGTTGAAGTTCTCTATCATGGCTCGAGAGGCCTGGTCCATCAGCTTCTGAGCAAGGCCAAGGCGCCGGTGGGAACGCTTCACAGCCTGAGAGAAGAATGGGTAGAGTAGAACCTTGGGAGACTACCTTCAATTACCTCCAGTCCACCTCTGCCAAACCCTCAGTAGCTCTACTCACCAGTGAGGTGATATGTCCATGGGGTACATCATCTGGATCCTCTTCCCTAGAGGAGAAAGCTAGAAAGGAGCCTGGTACAGGTGCAGTCTATCTAGGACACCTGTGCATAGCAAGTGTGTAGACTTTGTGGTGGACCCTATAGCACCCCAGACCCAGGCAGAGGAGAACTAGGAAATTCTGAATCAGAATAACCAATCACGCCCTCCTCAAAGCCCCATGATACACCCACCAGATATGTGCAGTGTCAACAGAACATTGCTCTATGATTGACCAAAAGAAAAAAAGTCAGCTGTTAAGCCACAAAAAGAGTAGTACTGAATGATGCAAAGCACTAAATGAAGGGATCCAGTTTGAAAGAGCTATCAGTTCCTATTCCAACTCTGCAACATTCTGAAAAAGTGACCTTGTTGTTAGAGGTTGTAGGAAGTATGGAATACCCTAAAGGTGGACAGACACTCTTCAACTGTCCGACTCAGAGGGCATGCAACACAGACAGAAGCACAACAATGAGAACATGAGTCTAAACAAAATCTGTGCTGGTTTCTCACTTCTAATAAGTGCACCATATATGGTAGTGAGGGAACAGATATGGAGGAGGGGTGTATGGAAATACTCAGTACCTTCTGCTCAATTTTTCTGTCAACTTAGAGCTACCCTACAAACAACCTGTTAATTAAAAAAAAAATCCTTTGCCCTGGAGGAGGTGGGAATAGGGGGTAGGCTGGGGGGAAGAGGAGGGGGACGGGAGGGGGGAGAACAAAGGAATCCGTGGCTGATATGTAGAACTGAATTGTATTGTAAAATAAAATAAAATAAAATTTAAAAAAAATCCACAGCAAACTGGGCATAGTTAATCCCAGCATTCAGGAAGCTCAGCACAAAGTCTGCTGTAAATTTGAGGCAAATCTGGACAAAAGAATGAGAACCCCTCTTAAAACTAATCCATAGCAGCATTCACCAGACATGGGAGGTATTGGTTTCCCAATCCCTTCTCCAAAGCTTTTCCCCCAGCTCCTCAACACCCAGTCTTAGCATTAGGCTCCTTTCTTCCTCCTTGGTGACTCACATTTTGGCCAAGACATACCCCACAATCTTCCCATTCTCATCCTCAGCGATGTAAGAGAGCTGGTAACAGACAAGAAAAGGAAGTCAGGTAGAGCAGGCAACAGGCTAGAGCTCATTGCCAGCCTCCTGTTTTGTGTAAGATAGTAGGAAGCTGCAAAAATTGTTGAGTTGTGACAACTGGTGACCTGGAATGCAAGGGGCCCAGTTTCCCTACTCCACACTTGTGCCCCCTCTTGGAAGAGCACAGGCACAGGTGGGAATCCCATCTCCAACCTGTGTCTAGCTTACAGTTCCTACATACAACTTTTCAATTTGCCAGGCTTCCCCATCAGCCCGGGCCTCACTGTACCAAGGCACTGTACCTCACTGCCCACTGCTTTTAGCCCACTCAGATCCATGTTTCCCTCCTGTTGTCCCTTACACCCCTACAAAACGCAAAAGCTGCCTACCTGGGGCCACGACAGGCCGTGGTAGAAGTAGTACTTCATCTGGTAGTTCTCCGGCAGGCAGAGCAGGTTGCAGTGCTGCATGTTCATCAGGTCCTCGGGCTGCGTGACAGTGGGGACACGATTAGTGCAGGACTTCAGTGACTAAGAAGGCCTCACGCACGCGAGACCTCTGTTCTCTGTTATCTCTGGACCTCCCCTTCCCCCAGGCAGGGCAGGGTTGTGACTATCTGACTTTGCACAAGCCTGGTTTCAATGCGCCGTGCAAAACGCGCCAGTTCCAGGACCAAGTAGCAGCGCCTGGAAGTTGCGGAGCCCTGACATCAGGCAAACGCGGGATACTATAATCCCAAGATGTCTAAAACAGGTTGCAGCAACCTTAAGGTCCAGCAGCCGCAGACGTGCGGGGGCCACAGCACCAGGTCCCTCAATAGCATGCACACGTGGTCACCCGGCAAGGAGCCCACTCGGTGCGGACAGGCTGTCTCCCCATCACCTCACCCTAGCATTGCGGATGTTCATCACAGCGGCGGAGCTCGCAAGTCCTCGTGGGTTGTGAACGCGCGCGCTCAGCGGCCACTCAGAAGCACCGCACGGACGTTAGGGGCCGGGGCTGGGACAAGGGCCAAACTCCCAGGAGGCGGTGGCGGAAGAGACCAGCCGCTCCGACTAGTCTGCAGCGGAAGTGCGCGGCTACAGGATCCGCCTCCAAACCACAGAGTTAGTGAGCACTCACAGAGCCAATGGGCTCGGTGGAACGGCGGTGAGGTGGCGCCTTCGAGGCCGCCATGAAGGCCCGGCAAACCGGACAGTGTGGAGAATAGCTGTTCCCTCCCACAGGGCCCACAGAGGTGCGCACACAAGCAGGTGGAGCAGGATCAGATTTATTTCGAGCCTCCAAGGCTGGGGACGGAGGGCGAGCACACGACGGGGGCGGGCCCGAGGCGGCGGAGCAGGGCTTCCAGAATCTGCTCACACATGGCCAGGCACCGCGGCACATGGAAGCAGCCTGTGAGGAGAATGGATGCTGGTGTTGGGAAGGTCCGGGGAGCCGAGTGCCACAAACCCTTGGTCTCGCCCGTTCCCTGCTCACCTTTAAAAGGACCTCCCTTGATGGTGAGGGCCACCTTTCCCTCTCGGTTCAGATAGCCAAACCATTCCCCGAACTCAGGATCACGAAACTAGAATAAGGATACAATGACAGCTAATATCGGCAGGACCCACCCGAATGTCACCGGCTGAGGAAGGGGCACCCCTTTGCAGTGCTACCAGTGGTCAGAGTTCAAATGGCATGATTTCAGTACTTTTAATGGACCACGTCCTGGAAAAAGATGAAAGCTGAGGATGGTAGGCAGTAGGCCTTCTCAGCCTGTAACCCAGTGGGGAAGGGGCTGCAGGGGGGTGTGCTGAAACGCTGCGAGAACGGGCTCTATATTTGATTGGTGTGTTACCTAACACTTTGAATTGACTACTTTAGAAACAAACATTTTACCTCATTTAAGTTGAAAGGAAGGAAGGAAGGAAGGAAGGAAGGAAGGAAGGAAGGAAGGAAGAATCTTGCCAGCAAACTTTGCAACAAGTGACTTCCCTGGAGTTCATGGTCTCTACTTCACAGGCATTTGGTCCAAAAGATCTTTGGATTATCAAGCAGAAGACACATAACTCCTGTCCTTGTATACTGAGGTTTTTATAACAGGGTCTCAGACTTTCCTCTAACCCTGTGTGGTGGGGCATGCCTTTAGCCCCAGCCCTCAGGATGTAGAGGCTGACACATTTCTGTAAGTTTCAGGCCAACCTGGTCTTCTGCCTGCCTTCATCATGGGTTCTGACCCTGTCCAGTGGATCTGATGCTTTAAGATATGGGGGACAACATCTGAGCTGCTGGACAGACCCTTTGTACACCCCATCCCATACCTGTCTTACTGAGGCTTTTTCAGTTCCCCAAAATGTAGCCCAGGTCCTTATCCAAGGCCCTTCCTATTTTGTTCTCAATGATAAAATAGTTAAGTAGAACCCCTTCTTAGAAGGCATTCAAGTTTACCATCAAAATGCTCCCTTTAAATTGTGACATATGAAGCCAGGCAGTGGTGACGAAGGCTTTGATCCCAGCACTTGGGAGGCAGAGACAGGTGGATCTCTGAGATCGAGGCCAGCCTGGTCTACAGAGTGAGTTCCAGGACAGGCAGGGCTACACTGAGAAACCCTGTCTCAAAAAAAAATATTGTGACATATGAGTTGTGAATTTTAAGCTGTGTAATGATTCATGTCTGTAATCCCAGCACTCAGGAGGCTGAGGCAGGAGAATTACCTCAAGTTCAAAGCCAGTCCAGATTCTGTCTCAGAAAGAGTGGTGGTGGTGTATTCAAGAGAGGTATAAGCAGTTCTGTATCTAATCATAACTTTTGAGTAGTCTTGTCCTTATTATGTATTTATTTTTGAGAAGGAGTCTCACCTTGTATTCCTGACTGCCCTAGAACTTGCTATGTGGCTCAGGCTGGCTTGGAACTCAGTTGAAATCTTCTTACCTCTGCCTCCCCAGTGCTGGAACTAAAGGCATGCACCAAAACTGGCTCATATTCTTTTTTTTTTTTTTTAAGTTTCTTTGAAACAGATTTATCTGTGTAGCCTTGGCTGCCCTGGAACTCACTTCCCTCTGCTTCCCAAGTGCTGGGATTAAAGGTGTAATAATAAGCACCTATGTGATTTATTTGGGAGCTGGGTGGCAGGCCCCCAAAAGAGCAAAGCGCGAAAACAACCAACAACAGCCTCAGAAACTCATCTGCTGGGCCAAGAGTCAGTAAAATACCTTGTAAACTAGTTTGGCGGTGGTGCACACCTTTAAGCCCAGCTCTCGGGAGGCAGAGGCAGGCTTATCTCTGAGTTGGAAGCCAGCCTGATCTACAGAGTGAGTTTCAGGACAGCCCAACCATTGCTACACAGAGAAGCCCTGTCTTGAAAAAGCAAAAAAAAAAAAAAAAAAAAGTGCCTTGCAAACATGAGAACCTGAGCCTGAGTTTGGTCCCAGAACCCATATGAAAAAAAGACAAGGATAGCACGCTTGTATTCCCACCACTGGAGAAACAGAGATAAGATGATCCCAAGGGTATGCCTACTAGCTAACATAGCTAGTGAGTGACCCTGTCTCAACAAAAAGGTATGTAGTACCTGAGAAACACCACCTAAAGTTGTCCTCTGACCTACCTATACTATACTCTCTCTCTCTCTCTCTCTCTCTCTCTCTCTCTCTCTCTCTCTCTCTCTCTCTCTCTCACACACACACACACACACACACGGGAGGTTCCAACTGCTGATTCACCAGCCTGTTGGATTCCCTGTCAAGGCTCAGGCTGCTGATCCTGGCAAATCAAGGATGTTCCTGCTACATGGAGCTCACCTGGCTGGACCCTCCTAGCTTCCCTTCTGTGAAACAGACATACCCTGCCCTCCACTGCTTTGGATCCTTGCTCACAAGGTCTTCTCTGATCCCTCTATAAGAAAGTTCTGGCCGGGCGGTGATGGCGCACGCCTTTAATCCCAGCACTTGTGGGAGGCAGAGGCAGGTGGATCTCTGTGAGTTTGAGGCCAGCCTGAGCTACAGAATGAGTTAGAGGACAGCCAGAACTGTTTCCACAGAGAAACTCTGTCTTGAAAAACCAAAGTGAAAAAAAAAAGAAAGTTCTATATCATTTGCCATCTGCTTTGTTTCCCATAGCTCATTGGTCTCTACATCTGCTTGTTTACTTGATTAGAATCTGACCACCTAGAAAGGTGAATTCATTGAGGCAGGGCTTCTTGGTTTACCAAACAAAAGGCACTCTTGGTACCCTCAGAGCAGCTGAGGGTAACACCTGATGAATGGGCTAGGAGTGGCTGAGGGAAAGCCTACTGGACCCTCTTATATAGCCCATTTCTTCCTTTCCCGCTGTCTGTCATATCCTTCAAACCTGAACTGGGCTTCCAGGAAATAAGGAGATAGCACTTACATGGCAGAAGGTGTACTCAGCCACCTGATTGAAGATCTTTAGCAAGGTAGGGTCCCCAGTGTCACTGTAACCCATGAGGAAGGCAATCATGGCTTCACAATGTGGCCACCACAGCTTCATGTCCCACTCCAGCTGAGAAGAGAGCAGAGATAGGCAGCTAAGGTCCTTGTTGACTTTAGGACACTCATATCCTCTGTTCTGACTCTGTCTGGCTCAGGACTTGGTTCTCAATCATGAGACATGGGGGATAGAGTTAGAATAGTCCTAAAGAGTAGGGCTAGAGAGATGGCTCAGAGGTTAAGAGCACTGGCTGTTCTTCCAGAGGTCCTGACTTCAATTCCTAGCAACCACATGGTGGCTCACAACCATCCACAATGAGATCTGGTGCCCTCTTCTGGCATTCAGGCAGAACACTGTATACACAATAAATAAATCTTAAAAAAAAAAAGAGTAGGGCTAGCTTTCTGACCTGAATGTACCCCAAGCAGCTCCTTAAAAGGACAAGTACTGGGGCAGACTCCCTTTATCCCTTAAGGTGGAATGCTGTCTGCCTTGTCATGTCATCTTTAAGCCTCTTGCACACTGCTGTTACCCATGGCTAGTATAGTACCCTCAGCAGATCTCCAGCAGGATCAGGGACACAACTCATCAGAAGAACAATTTCACTCCTGTCTGCCACCAAGTGGGAAAGTGAGAATCACCCAAGAACCCTTCAAGCCACTGGCACTAGACGAAGGGGACATGTGTCTTGGTATCAGCATTTGATGCCACTCTTCTCTAATGGCTTTCACGGGATATATGATGGAGAAAACTGGACTCTGGGTTCAAATGTTTTTGTTGTTATTGTATTTTGAGACAGGGTCTCTCTAACTTGTCCTGGCAGTCCTGCACTTCACTATGTAGACCAGGCTGGCCTTGAGCTCACAGAGATGCTTCTGATCTGGCCCCCAAGTGCTGATTAAAGACATGTGCCACTACACCTGGCTCTGAGTTCCCCTATTACATGCCAGGCTTCCAGCAAGTTGCTCTGGGCATTCCCACCTGGGTGGGGCAGAAACCATCAGCATCCTGGAAGTAGAAGAGGCCTCCGTGCTCAGGGTCCCATCCAGAGTAGAAAGGCAACAAGAGAAACTTGTCAATGATATGCATTCGAAGTTTGATGTCACCTTTCCTGCGGGCATACTGGAGCAGGAACCAGCCAGCTTCTATTGCGTGGCCTAGTGAGGGTTGAAAGAAAGTTAAGGCAGGAATTAATTCCCTTCCCAAGCATCTGAGGGCTTGAGTTCCTGGAACCTCCCTTCCTCCTCAAGGGTGAAAGATGCTTGAACTCTGTCACAGGATACCCTGCCTTTCTGCCTGAACTCCATTCCCTGAAAAAACAGAGGCCCCCCAAACAGACACTTAAGTTCCTTCAGCCAATGCCCAGTCCTGGGCAGACTTTCCCCTTCCTCTGGTCTTTGGTGGAGGGAGGAGGGCAGCCCCTCCCATATGAGACCCCAAACTGAAAGCTGAGTTCTTTTTCCTGATGGGCCCAGCACACCTGGGTTCTGATGTCTTCCAAGGCAACCAGGAATTTCTTGGCCATCCTCTGATATATTCTCTAGCACAGCTTTCCCATCCCTCTGCCAGGAAAGGAACAAAAGACAGATGTTTCCATTCCCTCTCATCCAACCAGAAAGATCTAACTTCAAAAATCCCT